CCCACAATGAATTTACGAAGGGGGGACTTTGGCCGAAGCACCTCCGATGCCAAAGTTAGAATTTTGAGGGAATAGTGTTTGGAGAATTTTGTAGAGTTTTGCAAGAGACTTGGAAGTAGATTTTGGAGAGAATGGAGAGCTATTTATGGGGATATGGCCGGACCTATTAGAAGAATAGGGACCTACCATTTGTGGTATTTTTTTGGGTGTAATTTGTAGTTAATAAGCCATTAATAGATAATTAGGTAATAAATCCATTAATTGACTAATTAATATAATTTAAAAAAAATGTTTTGGGGGTTATGAAATAATTACCTTCTGGAGAATATAGGATGAGGGTTGATGAAATAGTTTTGAATTTGTTACCTATTTTGGGCACTTTTGACTTGGTTGAGGAATGATTACCCGCTGCTCGCGCGTAGGAATCCTGATATGCCTCAAGGGTATCTTTGTCCTCTTCTATCCAAAAATCAACGTGTCACTTTGTGATTATTTTTGGCTCCACAGTACGTATGACCAACGATCAAGCAATCATTTGTAAGCACTTAATGAATGCCTCTGCCAAGCCGTTCTAGGTATGAACATGGGGTACTAGATGTTCAACTTCAACCCAATCGACATGCAATAGTCATCAAAAGTTTTAGATGTGAATTATTCAGCATTATCCAATCGAATAGATTTGATTGGATAATTAGGGTGGTGAGCCCTGAGCTTGATAACCTAAGCCAACAATTTGGAGAATGCAGCGTTCCTAGTGGACAACAAGCACACTTATGACCAACGTGCGGAAGCGTCAACCAAAACCATAAAATATCTAAATGGTCCGCAGGAAGGGTGAATTGGTCCACAAATGTCCCCTTGAATCCTTTGTAGAAAAATAGGAGGATTCAAATGAATATTTTCATAAGAAGGTTTAATAATAAGTTTTCCCATGGAGCAGGTTTGACATGTGATTCCTTGAATCGAACCTAAATTTCGGGTTAGTGGATGCCCGTGTGATGATTTGAGGATACGGCTCATTGCTGTTCATTCAAGGTGTCCCAAATGATCATGCCAAAGTGTAATTTTGTGCATGGTCCCAGAGGTAGGGCTAGCCATATAGTGGCTTTCTATAGGGCCTATGGCCGTAGTATATAGACCACTTAGCATACGCTCAATTTTCTCTAAAATACGCTTCTGGCCATATTCGTAGGAAGTTATGCATAGAAATTCAACTCCATTGTCTACATAGGTTTTAGCGTGGTAATTATTATCTCTAATGTCCTTGAAACTTAACAACGTTCTTCCGGAACGTGGAGAATAAAGTGTCTTATCCATGGTCAAAATTTTACCATTGAACAACATTATACGTGTCTTATTGTATCCTTCAATCAAGTTGGATAAGCCTAAGAGGGTTGTGAGAGGTGCATTCTTAGGTATAAAGTTAGTGAAATAGATGTGTTCACAAAAAACGGTGTGCATGATTGCACTATCTGCTAGACAACTAACTTTCCCACTAGTCATACCTAGAATAAAAATTAATTTGAATAGGTCACATGCATAAAAGTTCTAAAAATGAATATCCATTTAAAATAATTTAAGTATTCAAGGATGGTAATTAATTAAAAACTTAATATCTAAAAACGAATCACCAACAAATAATCCAAACATAAAGGAAAAATTGTTCAAAAATTAAACCAAAAACAAGGAGGTTCGGCCACTATGTGGAATTCGGCCCCATTGTCTAAATTTCAACTAGAAAATAGTTTATGTCTATGATTCTAATCTTCCATAGGGCTAATAGCCTCTTAAAAGTCAGAAACCTCCATCTTGGTATTCTCCGGTTCATCCACTTGCACAAAGTTTGATTCAAACTCCTTACGACGGGAATGATATTCAGTTACAACCTTCTGAGGAGCTCAGCAAACACGGGACCAATGGTCAATTGAACCACAACGATAACACATGTTTGCATCTATGGTTTCAGATGCTTTGCCTTTATTCTTGAAGTTTGGAGCCTTGGGAGCAAGGTTAGGGCACTTATGGGTTTGGTTTCCTCTCTTGGATAGGCCTTGGCTCTGTTGACCTTGACGAGGTGGCTTCTGGCCGCCCCTACCACTTGTATTTTGACATTTTAGGCGTTTGTTTGTGCTATAATGTGCTTCAAGCACAACAGTCGTCCCAGTAGGTCAAGCTTGATGATTTTTCATCAACAGCTGATTCTGCTTTTCAGCGAGAAGTAAAAAAAAAAGATCAAATCCGAAAACTTAGTGAACTTATGAGCCTTATATTGTTGTTGCAAGACAATATTAGTAGCAGAGAAGGTTGAACAGGTCTTCTTTAGGAGATCCTCTTCGGTCAAGGTCTCGTTACATAACTTGAGAAGTGATCGGATTTGACAAACATTAGAATTATGTTCATTCACATACTTAGAAGTCTTGGAATCGCATATGTTGCCAGTCATGTCTTGCTTCAGGTAAGAGAAGTCCTTTTGGTGATCAGCCAAAGTGACCTAGAGTGCTCGTGAATCTTCTTCAACAAGGTACTCGGTTTGCAGTGCATCATGCATGTGTATTCAAATGAAGATCATTGCAATGGCTTTCTCAGCTTCGTCAACCGGGTTGTCCATCTCATCTTCAATGGTTGGACTCAAATTTTTTGTAGTTATGTGGAATTTCACATCTTGGACCCACTTAAGGTAGTTTCTTCCGAAGACCTACAAGAAGTGGTTAATGTAATGGATAAAAAAAAAAAAAAATCAAACCATTCACATAGGAGTAGAACATTCAAGTTCTAATAGACATGTATTGATTTAAATTTGCATGAAAAACTTTCGGTTTTCATGGGTGATGTTTTTAAGGAAAACTTCAGGTTTTCAAACAAGGCATATTTCTAGAAACTTCAGGTTTCGAAATAATTATGAACTTCAGGTTCATATGCTCTTGCAGACTAACACGCACACACACACACACACACACACACATACATATATATATATACACACACACACACACAGAAATATGGAACAAGAAAATATGCAAATAAAACTTCAGGTCTATAATTATAATTGAATTAATTATTTTGAATTTTGGGCCAAATTTAAAGTGTGGGTGAAAATTATAAAACCCAAAAGTACCTAAAAAATAGGCAATTAACACTCGAGGCCCAAAAATTTGGACCAAAGCCCACGGGTGGGCTAAGAACGTTTAAACTTGCAGCCCAGACTCAAGAATTGGGCTAGGTTAAGTAGATATAGGCAGTGTGCCCAATATACCTGAGGCCCAGATGGATGTGGATTAGGTGTGACGCGGTGTGGTGTATCGATTCTCCAGCAGCAAGCTGGGATTGTGTGTGGCGTTGTGCACGGGGACACCAAAGCCTAATTGGGCTGGTGTGTTCATGGGTCGAGGGTCCAATTCAACCTAATAGGCTGTTTGGAGTTAGGCTGTGTCGGCAAAGACAACCAGTAACCTAAAAGAGGGTGTTGTGCGATGCAAGCTCGAGGGTCCGAGGCCCACTAGAGCTCGGGTCTAGAAAACCTAGGACACCCTAGCGGCACTGGGTGTGGGATTTCGAACCAGAAAAATCTCAAGTGTCGCTTTAGGAAACTTCTGTCGGTCAGTCACGGTATAACAATGCACGAGGGTTCAATTGGAACCCTAGTTTTGGACGGAGACCTAAGTTTTGACGTCAAGGGAAAGGTCTGGGAAACCGTGAGGATTCAAAGAATCCTTCAAAAAGTTGGTTGTCGGATTTTTCGAGAAAATAATTGTCTCCGATGATGGTTGGGTCCCAAAAACACGACTGCAGGTCGTGGTGTCCCAAGGACGACCATAAGGCTATAGCCAACTACAAGTGGCGGTTGGGCTCATGGGTTCGATGCCAAAATGGCGTCGTCTCAAATGAAGCATAGGGTTTTGCTTCAATGCATCGCAGCTAAAAGGGCTCGCATGAGCTTGGGTTTGATTTGGACAAACCCTAAAATAAATAATTTAATGCATAGACATATATTTGATGCAATTCATGGCAATATCAAATTCACATAATTCAACAATCTTGGATATAATGCATACACAATTTATGTAGAATCTAAAATTTGAAAAACGTAAAGTTGGGTCATGCATTATGGTGAATGTTCAGGCTATCAGGGCTGCAAAAATATCGAGATAAAAAAAACGTTGTTTTGAAAGAACCTAATCGCGTGATGATATTGGTGAACTAGTTTGATGCAGAAAAATTTGCACGTCAGATTCCTAGGTGCAGCAATAGGAGCGTGTTAGTAATTTGTTGTTGCCTATATTTAACTGACAAGGTAAGGGGGTGGCAGCACAGAGAGAATATAGAGAGAGATGTGTTTGTAGGGTTGTGTAGAGGATGTGTTATTCCCTTTACCCAGTGCCTTTATTTATAGTAATAAGAGAGAGAAGAAATCCTTCTCTTCGAAGGAATACAAGTCCTAATAGGGAAGAATAACTAGAATCAATTAGGATTTACACAATCACACTTAAATAAGAAGTTTATAATAGAAATAAAATATACAGATGGGATTTGGAGCAGGGAGAAAAAAATTAACAAAAAGAAAAATAATTACATAGATTATTAGGAAGTGCTTTTACTTCTATAATAAATTATATCATTAAAGATATAATTATTGATACATAAAATAATTTTTAATTCAAGTGATGAGACTTATTTTGATAAGAATAAGTATTCCTAATATTCGTTAAAAAATTGAACTTATATCAAATTTTATTAATTCCTGTTTAAAATATTTTTAATAAGTTTATTTTTGTATGTTCCACATGGAACCATATTATTGAAGAAGTGAGTCCCCCTTTTGTCCATATGTGCATAATAACAGAATTTATTACGGAATTATAATGGAAGGACCAAATTGATGTGCGGTGGAAAATTTTAAGGACGAGATTGATTGATTTTGAAATTGAGGAACCAAAATAAAGAGTTTGCCCAATTAAAGGGATCTGTTTGGGATAAAAATCCTTACAAATAGGCGTCAAGACATGTCCTCTGCCATGTAGCTTGGTTTCATTTGTCATATCTTGGTTTTCACTAGGCAAAGAGAATAATAGTAAGATGGATAAGAAGGGATTGAGGCCAGTACCGGTGGCTTATTTAGTGTTGGGGATGTTGATGCTGGCGGGGCAGTCCAGTGCTTCTTTCAAAAGCTGCTTCGAGAGTTGCTTCATCCTCTGTGTCATCACTCCAAACCACTCCGTTAGCTACTGCAGTTTTCAGTGCTTGAAAGATTGCATCATACCAAGTAGATCTCCTTTAGATCATAGCAATATCCACAAAGACAATGTCTACTTCTGCAAACTTGGATGTGCTTCTTCCTTGTGTTCCAATCTCAGCACTAAAGAAAACCCAGGTACCAATATTTAATATTCGAAGCCCTCACTACGAATACTTTCTTCTCCACAATCAATAATATATAATTATGTGTCAATTTTTGTTATTATTTAATTTAGCATGTAAAGAAAATAAACATACAATTATATACAACAATTCTTTAGAAACAACTTTTCCCTTCCCCTATATATATGTGTGCAGATTTAATTTGAAAGTATTCATAGATGAGTGCAAGAAATCTTTTGATATTGTAAAAAAAAAAAGCAATTCCCTTTTAATTTCTTTAATTTTCTTAATGTAATTTATTTTCATTTTCTTACTTTGAGCTCTCATTTGAGTGTAGAGGTTGAGAAGGTAGGCGGCTGCGTGGATTCTTGCTCAGAGACATGTACCATCAAGAATACCTGAGACCGGACGAGGATTCCTTCTTGATTTTCTTTGTGAGGATCCAAGGAATTCTTATATTCTATTCGTTCATCGTATATTGTACGATCAATTTTAGTTAGGGACTGTTTGTATTTAATTTTAAATAAAAAATTGAAGTGATTTCTGACCCCCATAATTTTAGTTAGGTACTGCTTGTATTTAATTTTAAATAAAAAAATTGAAGTGATTTCTGATCCCACAATGTACGATGAACGGATAGGAGAATAGGATCCAAATCGAAGCATCGAAGATTAGGGTTTGGTTAATTGATGGTATTATTTTTGCATATGGGTCATAAATTGATAAAATATTATGGGAAGCTAAATTGAAATTAAAAACCATAGATTACCTGCACTTTGTATAATTTGTCTGGATCCGACTTGTTTATTTGAAAAGTGTTATCTATAACACTATGTTTGGATGAAGAAATTTAAAATTACTAAGGAATTTTAAAATAACAAAAATTGAAATGACAGGATTTTATTTTCTAGATTTTGTAAATTTTCTTGTTTGGTTAACTTAAAAGAACAATGGAATTGAATACAGAATTTTTTATTTTTAGACTCTTAATCACAGAAATTAGGAAAAACACCTATTTACATAGAATTTAAACTTGGGAATTGGAGGTCCCAAATTCCAAGTTTTTTTCCACGCGGAAGTTCTAAATTTTTATGTTTATGAATCCAAACAAAAGAACTGATGCATGTCTATTTATAAATTCTAACTTTTACCCAAGTTCCAAGTTTATTTCCCTCATCCAAACATAATATAAGTTCACGGGTTTACCTACTACTAATACCCATGTGGGTTCATTATTTGTAATGATCAACTACTTCTTTTAAAATATATTTTCCCCAAATTCATGGCATGGCCAAACGGATCATTATATTTACTTGAAGTTGTTTTATTTTTATGCTTTATAACATGTGATATTTTAAATTACTTTAACTCGAGAGATGAGATTCAAAGTCATAAGGAGAGTGAACACACTATAATGATCAACTGAACTAACCAACGTAAGAGTGATACCTTGATTTATTATTAATTTTTTTCTTCCAAAACAAACTAAATTCACCGATATTCTGAAAATACACACCCAAGGTGGGGACAAGTGGTACCACAGTAGTATAGCCCGTGAGCTGGTTTTAAGGTCGAGACAAGATGATAACATGTGAGGATGCAGACCCGTCCGGAATCTGTAGTCATTATTTATAGATGATAGTGTTTTACTAGGGTATTATATCATTGGGTTAGGCAAAAGTCAAAATAATCTAACAATAGCACAACGGATCCCAGCCTTCTTCAATTACCCTCCAATCTTCCATCCCTCTCTAACCCCAAAAAGCCAATTTCTATTTATGAGTGTTAATTAAATCATTGGTATAAGTTTGTTGATCATAAAAATTATAAAGCCTACATCATCCTACATCATTCTTATCAATGAGAACATGCTAATTCACAACCAAGTTTGGTCGGGTGAGTAGAATAAATGTGGTGGTGGTGTCGAATGCGGTGCTGGCTGCTGCACTTGAGCGACTACGGCCGATGAAGGAACATCTCTTCCCCTAGGGTTTTAGAACTTGAAGACAAGGTTGCCTAGTTCACTGTGAAGTTCAAGATGACCTGTACCACATTCGGCTACCTCAACTATATTTGTGAGAATATAAATGAGCTGAATTGGTATCAAGCTATAGGGGCACATATAATCAAAGGAGATGATCATTTTATGATGAACATGGTTCGGCCGTCTAAATGCCGAACTAAAAAATGCACTTGAGAGTAACCAATCATAGAAAACTTCACTCCGATGGGAAGCAAATGAAGTGACCTTTTTCAGCGAAGGAATCAAAGATTCTCCTCTGAACTAAAACTTGGATAGGTAACCAACTGAACTAGAAGTGATGTTCCACCTAACTAAAGGTACGTCCAGAGCGATTAGTTCTATGGCTCCAGTGATGTTCTAACGAATTGAATATGTGCCGAATGAGGGGTTAGGTTGTGAAAAAGTTCAGTATAGAGTGAGGGTTTCACTTAAATCGTTTAAGTTGCTTATTGAATTGAAAGGGATTTTCAAGTTGCAAAACCTCTTCTATATATAGGATACCTTCGTGAAAAACAAGTATGCCTAGGTAGAGTCCTAATGGGATCATGTCACTCATCATTTGCCTGAATATTCTTTCTTTATCCCTTTTAATTCCTTGCATAGCCTAAACTCATCTTCATCTAGTCTTGGCTTCTTTGATTCCAACTAGGATTCTAAACTTGACACATTATGTGATTAATTCCTTCTTATCTAATCAAGAATGAATTTTGATCCTTGGGACAATCAACATTTAATTACTTTATTCTGATCCTTGGCAATTTCAATTTGCCTAGACTCATCTGGTCCATATCCACTATTCTAAAATCGACCTAGACGGCCGCCTAGGCGTTGGACAGTGGAGGACCGAATCGATTTAAGCCAAAAGCTGAAGAACAATGGGTTAGGGGGTAGGTGGTCTAGGCGACTTAGGTGTGGCTAGGTGGTTGAGATTTAAGGTTCCTTTTTTTTTTTTTTTTTTTTTTTTAAAAAAAAAAAAAATTAAGTTAAAGGGTTTTCTGGGTAGCCAACCCCATATTATTTCTCTCGCCTTTTCGTATTTCTCTTCTCCATGTCTTTCCGCACGATCCTATTTACATATATTGATTCATTGAATCATTGATTAATCTATCATGAAAGATGTTGTCAATTTTAGATTACGAAGTATTGAATTTTAGAATTTGGTTTTTGATTTTTCTTATTTGTGCTGCATTAATCTGTGACAATGCCAATACCATAATGGCTTAAGTTTTAACTTTTCTAAATTCTCAATACAAATATATTTTTTTAGAGTGTAAGTAGACACCTATTTATATGTTATATAATAAATTTAACTAAATCCGTCTAGGCCCCCGCTTAGCCGCCTAAGTGTCAGGCCCCAGCTTGCCGCCCGACTAGTGGCTGGCTAGCATCTTTTAGAAACTTATCCATATCTGATCTTAATCCTAACATGGTCCTATTTTCATAAAGACTCGGTCGAATCAACTCTTTCGTTGCCTAAAAGCCTAGTAGCCTGAGGGATCTTTACTGGGTTGGCAGATGTGGTATACCCTATCTAATTGATCATTTGATTAGTCAGGGATATAATAATAAACTATGTCCTTGCGTGTTAAATTAAGAAGTATTCTGAATTGCTATATTTTTTGTCTAGATGACATAAATTTCACTAAAATTTCGGAAGAGCTTGAGAAATCTGCCCCGCACCTGAAGACGAAATTTGAGATAAAGGTTCATGAGAAAACTCATTTATGCCTTGACCTGAAGTTCATTGTTCAAACGGTATTCTGGTTCATCAATTGAACTACACCCCAAAGGTGTTACCTTCTTAATATACCCATGATCATCCACGCTAGATACAAAGGAGACCTTTGAAAAAGTTATGGAACCCGAAGTTTCATATGTAAGTTCAACTTTGCGCTTTGTTGTACTTAGCTCATTGCATCAACAAGACATGTCCTTCGTTGTTGATCTATTGACAAGATACATCACTGCGCCTAAACGAACCACTAAATTTTTTTACTACCCTGAAGGTACTATGGATTTAGGCTTATCCATACACATCCTGAGAGGATCCAACCCTTCTGATCTTCAGAATGATGCTTGCCTTGCTTGTTATGCTGATGATGATTACTTATCAAACATGCACAAGGCACATTCCCAAATGGTTATGTTTTTACTGTTAGGGATACTACAATATCTTGGATGTCCACAATATAGGTCTTAGTTGCAAAATCTTCGAATCATTTCAAGCTCACTGCACCTTACTACGCCATGCGTAAGAGATATGGTTGAGAGCTCTTGTTGAGCAAAATCGAAATACCTACGATTTTTTATCCATCATTGAGTTCCAATGACAATCTGTAAAGACAATGCTACATTTTATCGACCAAACCAAGACATGATGCATTAAAAAAAAGTCAACATCAAACATATTGTGCCTTTCTTACATCAGCAAAGCATTAGAAGATTGAAGTCAAGCAGATTAGAAGATTGAAGACAACCTTGCCAAAGTAGCTTATGTTCTTTCCGCTCAAAGCGATTAAAAAGAACCAATTAACCTCTCGATAAAGCGTCCTCCTATTTCCCCCGACACACAGCACAAATGAAATCAGGAGACTCTTCGAATCAAGTGAGAACATCTTAAAATACAGCAAAGCGACATATAGATAATGCGCTACTTTGTTTCTCATATCATTGTATCACGTGTTTCGCCTCTTACATGTTAAAAAATATTTTTAATGCACTAATTAAAAAGGTTTAACTTTTCAGATTTGACCATGCCTCACCAACAACCGTTTTAAAACAAAACAAAAAACAAGAAAAAGAAAACTAATGAAAATGGCTTGAAAACTTTGAGTTTTAATGATAAGGACAAAATAAAGGGTAAAGTAAATAGTACCTGGATTGACTTTTTAGTGTAAAAATGTGGTTTTTCATTAAAGTGAACAGTACCGTGGGGTTTTCGTTAAAATTAAAAATCATAATTCTATTAGTAAATAGTTTCTCTGATCTTTTGAGTGGCAGTTGTTCAGAGCTTAGGTGATGGTTTTTATGTTTCTTGAAGTTTGTGCACATGACAAAGGACAATAAGAAAGAAGCTTGATCTTTATTGGAGATAACTATCAGTGACTGCAAGATCATCATAAGGCGGTGTGGTCTTTGCTTGTGATGCCTTTACAACGAATCTACCATTTGCAAGATTTATTTGAATGCGCGTCTTCCATGATTATTGTTCTAAAAGTTTTCGCCTAGCACCATCTAGGATCCGTCTAAACGCTAGACGGCTGGCCACCGTCCCGATTAATGCTTAGATCGTTTAAAAATTAAGAAATGGTGTTTAGACCTATTGAGGCACCCACCTAGCCCGCTCATACCCGCCTAGGTCGCAACTTATTTTGACAAAAAATAGATCACTTTCATTTTCCATTTTATTTTTTCAATAAAATTGTAAGAAATTTGTTGTATACTTAAACAAACACACATTATATTTTCATTATGTTCCAATACTTCATTATATATTTGTCATTCTATTTTGTAGTTTATAATGAAATTATATATATTTTAAGTATAAGTAGACCTGACACACCCCGACCGAAATCAAGGCGTGCTGGCCGGGGTGACGTAGCCATGTGTACAGTGCGAAACCAAAAATAATATAAAAATACGAATAAATAAAAACCAAACTAACTAAA